AAGAGTGTTGCACAAAAGGAAGCCATAGCTATTTTTCTTCATCTACACCGAAACAATGCATATACCTTGACAATTTTTTTAAACAGTATCAAACAAACAAGTCAATTTGGAATTACCCAGATTATTAACTCTCAGTCTATCGGGTACAGTATGAAAGAACTTTACACTAACTCAAAACCACGCTGCTGTCCAACGGCTAATCAGAACAAAGAAGTCTGTTACAGGCGACCAGGGAGAGGGGAAAGGAGGCCTGCACCTGATTTAAGACTCCTCACCGTATCACTTTCAAACAGCTTATTCTACTTGCCAGTCTGTAGGCTTTACCCCAACTTAGATACAAGGTAGCACATCCTTTTCTTTCACTCAGTTTAGCTACTTTAAACTGTCATATTCATCATGGGCTACAGACAGTTGCCACGGGAAACTGATGCATAGGCACTTGTTCATTTATTAAAACCACTTGAAGTTTTACTGGTCAGGATCTCTGGGATCAAAGATGAACAGCTGCCTTTGCTGAAACATAAGACCTGTGTTGCTCCATGCCTGAACCCCAGTGATGCAGGCACAACAACACAGTCCAGCCTCAGCATCCTTTAGCAAACCTGTATGATGAAACATGCCACCATGAAACAAAGCAAACCCATCAGTGACAAACCTCCAGCCACAACATGCAACTCTTGGCTCAAGAGGACTAAGTTTTTAGGAGCATGCAAACATGATTATCGCTTATCTCAAAGCTTACTTAATGACAATGCCTGTCAAATACAGGCACGTACAATTTAAATAAAGGGCACATGCATCCTTTGGAGTTTTTTTCTCCACTTCCACACTGCACCAGTTTAACATTCATAAAAGCAAAACAGTGACTGTGGCCTGGTGTTAGGGAGACATCGCAACTAATTAACTGTATTATCATAACGAGAAATCAAATTCTCAAAGGGCAATAAAATGAAACAGAAAATATCCCTGCAATAAGCTGTGGCAGGTTGAACTCTCTTCTTACTAATTCAGTTTTATAGCCAAAAGAGTAATAAAATATCTCAGAGCCAAATATCTTCATGTACCCTTTTCAATTTGACAGCACCAGACCGGTTATGCCTACTGCAAAAATTCTCAGCTGTTCTTGGAAATCATCAAGTAAACATTATTAAAAAAGGCTCTATGCTAAAAACAGGTATTGAAATAGGCTGACAGTGACCTGGAACATCAGTGTAACTTCATTATGTCCTACAACCACATCTCAACATGGGCTGCTGGGAGAGCAAGCTGACCAAGGGAACTTAAAACCACAGGCTCAAGGCTCTCTCATTTGCTACTAATGTGTTATCTGCTTTGGTTCAGACCAGACTGTTCACTGTTGTCTTCTGTGTAAAACTCCTCAGGTACCTAACAGGCCTGTATTAAAATCTGAATGACAGGAGTGAACGCATTAAGACTGCAAGCATCCATTTTTTCCAAGCAGTATGTGTACACACCAAAAAAATGTAAAATGATTTATGCCATTTAAAAGGCAGTTTCATTTTCTGTGTCACAGGTACAGAACCAGGATTATGAGAAACGCTAACATGGCACAATTCCAAAGAACTCCAGAAGGAGAAAATAGTCCAATAAATGAGAAGTAGAATGACTGGTTTAATTATCAGAAAAGATATTCCTTAAACTTTATCTGAGGTAAGTGCTTTACAAAATACCTTTTAAGCCACTGACAGAATATAGAAGTAGAGTGCTTCGTATCAAGCCCACTATTTTTTAAACACTAGATGAAAAATGCTATTAAAGGCATCAGTATTCTAACTACATTGCTTAGCAGCAAATTCATCTTCTGATCATCCATTATGTATGCAAACTGTATCATCTCTATTTTTAGAGCACAAATCCCCTGGAGCATGGACTTTTTTCTTGTGTTTTTGACTGTTGTACAGTATTGACCACATCACGACCATGCCACAATATTAAGTTCTCTGCTTCAGATTTCTAAAATTTACAATAGAGGTACCATGGAAGGTCAAAGATTTAACCAATACAAACATAACTGTCAAAACCAAGACTTCCTAAGAATTGCCTGTTCATTCTTGTGATAACAGTGCAACTGAGTATTTCCTGCAGACGCTTGGAATCATTACAATCTCTACCTCTCATCATTCTTCATTTCTTCACGTATGGCCAAGCAGGTTGTTCCAACAGTAAAATACTCTCAGAGGACAATGTATGAGAACACTCACTCTATACTTCCTTTGTTGTGGAAGCAAACCAAAACACCCAGGGGACCCAAAGAGAGTTTTCTGACAAATCAAGTAAATTTTACTTGAGAGTCAGCCTCAAGGCTATGAACTAATCAACAAAGAGCTGACACACGCCTCCAGGATTTAGTCAGCTTTTCCTCATGGTTGCTTCTTTTTGGACCCTTATTTGAAAAACAATGCCAACTGTACTAACTGTAACCATAAAGCAACAGCTAGTCCACTCCACAGGACATACTCTCCTTTTGGCAAGGACCACCTTGACTTCCACAGTTAGCTCATGAAGTACAGTGGTCATCTTTCAGTCACCCAAAAGCAGCTCTATTTCTCACTGTATATAAAACACAACCCTTCAACTCGATTTTAATATAATCTGTAATATCATACATATTTAGAAGACCTGAAAAAAGAGCACGCCAGGTCTAGGCTAATAAGGCATTCCCATCCGGACACATCACTTCCCAAGAGCAGACTCAGCTAGCGCTGCGTGTCTTCATCACAACAGAGAAGGGCCTTACCGATCGCAGCTAGTGGAGCCAGGTCCGTACACACAGAAATGGGAAACTCCCCACCACTGTAAGCATTCACAGAAGTTACTGCACGACAGTGGGATTTTTTAAAAAAATATTTTTAGCAATTGAAAGCATGAAAGAAGAGATGAGTGTTAGCCCTGCTTACCACGCAAGACTGCTTCATCTGAACTTCCCATTTCATTTTGCTGCCAGGAATTTTTAGTTTTGGCTGAAAACGGTGCAGCACTAAGTGAATGACGTCAATGAAAAATGTGTTTGCTTATGTCATAATAATCATCATCAACATCTTAAGCATTTTTCTGAGAAACTCCAGTAATTATTTAATGCTTTAGAACTGGGGCTTAAATCCAGAGAAGGAGACCTTGTTCTTTGGTCATGATTAGCTTTTTGCGCTGCAGTAAAAATCTGCCTGGGTTTGCTGAAGCAATGAGAATTTCCTAGGCACCTCTGCAAGAGATGCACTGCTGTCTCTAAAGCTTTTAAAAGCTAATTTCTATAAAAATTCTCCAGAAATACAGATGCTCTGCTCCCCCACAGCACACTAACACACCAAGCAATAATGATGTCATGGAGCTGTGGAAAGAAAGATATGGTTCATACGTTTTATTTGTTTTTCAGACTTCTGAGTCCTATTTGGAAATTATGTTAGAATAGTATGTCCAAGGAAAATTAACTTCTTAGAATCCGTTTGTAAACGCTTCACCAAAAGCTGTCTATGACTTTAACCTGAACTCCTTCTGGAAATACTCTATGAAAATTCAATATACAATCTTCCTCACAGGCCCTCCTGTGCTTATACTCTGTGAATAAATCGAGCCATGAAGCAAATACCACTATTTTGTGTGAAGTATCCTTACCCACTAAAGATATCATGGAGGATACAAGTAACGCTATACAGAATTACAGTAAAATATTAGCATCAAAGACATAGAGTGGGTCTTGAAAATACAACAGCATTCTACAAACCCCTTCTTTGCTGAACAATTCAAACATCAGATATGCAGACTGTCAAGCACCTTTTTGTTCACTACCACTGCAAATGTAAAACCACATTTAAAAAAAAAAATGAAAAAACCACAAGTCAAATACCTTTTCCAATAACCCTCTGCAAGCTACTGCTGAAACTGACTGATGCCATTGCTCATTCACCATGTCTTGCCCAAATGCATGTGTGAAGGAAAACAAACGGATTGTGTCATCTCTTAAAAATGGAAAGAAAACTGGTATTTCTTCTTGCGACACTGAGCTTTCAGGTACTTTGACCACCTGCTTACAAATCCCCACAGAGCCCCAAGCAAGTCAGCAACACGTGGTTCACTTCCTCACGTGCACCGCTTAGAGAGTCAGAAGACCCACTGCTCCAGAAACACAGAGCCATGATTTTTAAAAGGCAGACCACAACAATATTCTCAGAAATCTTTTACGCAGAACAGCATGGAAGGAGGGCCAATATCCTCTCTAACCAGAGAACGCTGAAACAGCTAGTATTTTCATGGATTTTTGGTCTCCTTTATAACTGATCTTGAAGCCCAACTTTGAAATTCCAGGTGCCAAGCACTCAAATGACAGCAGGCCCTTTCTGTAAACTATGCAAGAGGTTTTCATCATGTTTGGGGTCAAATCTTTTTTTATTCACCTTTGAAAGGATCTAGTAACTTTTTGTATTCTCATAAGCATTAAAGCTTACTCTACTATTGTAGCTCTCAAGTAAAACAACCTCACCAAAATTTAAACGCTTATAAAGCAGCAGTTTACACTTAAAATCACCTCATAAATAATAAAACAATAGCCAAATCATAATTTGACCTATCCCAAGTGTAATACAATCACACATTATCTGAGCACAGTTTAATCTTTGTATAGACGTTTCACAGTATGTGCAAAAGACTGCCCATTTACAAAGGATGAAACTCTAAGGACAGTACTTAGTGGGCTCATCCTGGAAAGGCAGAATTTTTCTTGTTAATAAGTTGTAATCTGGGCATGAAGTTTCTGAATTAAGGTACTTCATTATAGAGGGAGTCTGGAGACTCAAGACGGTGTTTTTTCGGTTTGTTTTGAGGATTTTTGGTAGCAAAGTAAATAAAAGGCAATATAGTTTTAAAATGGAAACAAAGCTACAGTTCCAGGCACATACACTGACTGGACTGAAAAACTTAAGATGTTAAAAAAGCTGAGACAGACAGGAGTAAGTGTAGCATTAATTTGTAGTTCTCAAACATTTACACGATTTGGACATGTACTACAGCAAATCCTAATGTTTTAACCACTACTCCCTAAAACTATTTTTATGGATTATCCAGGACTCAACCAAATGAAATATCCTGCTTTTCTTTTAGGTACCGATGCATATTCCTAGCCTCCTTTACAAGCATGTATAGGAAAAGCCAGGAAATCAGATACTAAACCAACCCTACCTAACATCATGTCTCTGACAGTATCTCACAAGCCAGAAGAATGTGCAAGAACACATCAAGTTTCCTTCTGGTTGCTAATCAGACATAAGCTTTGGATTTTAGGATTAATCCTAACAATCAATTTTTAAAATGGTATTAATTTATACAGATATTTAGAAAAATCTGTACTCGTTATCATCTGTCCAATTCCTTTTTTAATCTTGTTTAATTCTCAGTCTCAAGAACTTCCTGTAGCAGATGAGCTTCACAGTCTAATTACATGATGCATGGAAAGGATATCCTTTTAATTGCTACAGATTTCCTAACTTTTGGCCTCATTCACCCCCCCGCCTTTCCTCCCCAGTTCTTCCATCACACAGACAGGCAGGACTGAAGCTCTAGCTCTGCTGTTTCCAGACCATTCATACTTTACAGTTACATCTGCTCATTCCTTCTGCTATTTTACCTTCCAAAGGTAAAATAGCTCAGCCTTTTCACAAGCAAGCTTTTTTATGCCCTTACGCATTCGGGTCACCTCTTGCTAAAGAGTTCAAATAGCCTGAGACATAGGTACCTCAAAGCAAAAATAGATCCTAAAAATAACCAATGAGGTTGCACCTCTGACTTACATAAAAGTATTGTAAATTACTATACATAAGGCACGTTTGCCAGAGGTCTTGAGAAGCCTGTACAGATGTACAAGTTAATTCAGAATTTTCTAAGGTAAGCACATGCATAAAGGTACATCTATTCTATTATGCATGGTACATGTGAAGCAATAAGATTTGACCATGTTACCCATTCATTCACAGAACAAAACCAGCCACTTTCAAAGTGCAAAAAAGAATCTGTTTTCTGCCAAGAGTCTGGTCTTACAGGGTGCTCCTCAGGATCAAGACCTATGATTTATATGGCAGTTAAATGCCACTAAAAAAAGTTTCACATACCCAAGTAATGGAAGCAGACCATTTAATTGTGGAAAACAAGCTACATTTCACATGATAACACAGCTGTCACTATCAGCAATGAGGGATTAAAAACTACTATTGCTGTGAGATTCAAAACCCAATTTGCAAAGAGAGAGGTAAAACACTGCCATCTTATATGGGAAGGGTTAAAAAAAAACAAGCTAACTTAACTCCTTTGGAGTTTCAAGAGGGACGGAGGACTGAAAAAGAAAAAAAACACCACAACCTTGAATGTTCTAAAGATCTCTTAGGCTCTTTTGTGATCCCACTAGCCTAAGGGGAAAAAAAAAAACGGTCAGTCATTCAGTAGTCCAGCTAATAAGTCTTCCCTGCAAAAATGATTCCAACTCCTCTGCCATCATTTTCTGCTGCAGCTTCCACGGAGACAGGAAACTGCAAAGTACAGGCTTCATGCTGAGCCAGACATCCAAATGCCTCCTACCCTGCTACTCCCACACAGCCTACTGCTTAGGCCTGCGAGCCCCTCTGTCTATGTTTAAATCCATGAGGGGCAACATCACCAATGGCATGTGGCCAACGTAATCATAAAGGTCTGAAAAACTGTTATGACTTACACTTCTGGTGTGCCTGTAACCTTAACACAATTTATTTATTCAAAGTAAATGCTAAAGCTAATTGGATAGCAGAATTTTTAAGTCACCATTTCAGTAGTTTGTCACAGATTGTAATCCAGAAGCGGAGCACGAAGAAAGAGCCAGTCTTGCTTTTGAAATTACATAGAGAAACACCACGGTCTGAAAAAGCATGGCTACAGCCTTGCCTTGTTCTCATCTTCTCCAAGGAGGAGAAAGGGGTAAGCAGACCCTAGGTCTCACCCAGGAAGATCCCTTCTGCATTGATGTAAACACCTGGGTTAAGTCAGGCTCTGGGAACAAGCTCTGACATCTGCACTCTAACACTGCACACCCCTTCTGCCCTACAGTAATATCAAATGACTTCGCTACATTGAGGCCATGCCTGTACCCACCTTGATTCTGAAGCACCTGGGAGGTAATTCAAGGCAGAGCAGTCCTCAACTGCAGCTACTCATCGTTTTTTATAGGCAACCACAGAGGACCGTGGCACAGACAGACAAGTCCTGTGAAGCAACTGACAGATACACTAACTTGCTTGTTGGTCACAGTACCAAAACCAATCTTTTATTTGGAGAGAGAACCCAGGTACCTGGGTTGGGCTGGAGATGGTTGAGGAAATGGAAAAAAGCCTATGTATTCACATGCAATTTAATTGAGAAAGCCAGGCTTACTGGCATGAAAGAAAAATTAATGTATGAAGACCATGAGCAAAAATATTCCCAAACAGCTATTTATAGCTTTGACCTTTTAGATTTTCTGCACCACTAACTCAAGAAACAGCCTGCTGCCTGGCAAGCAGAGGTGAATGAAAGGAGTGCAATGCCAATTTGTCAAATAGAGCCCTTGCTAAAGGGATGCTGTCAGCCCGAAATTTTAAATTTCTATCTAATTGATATCAGACAACTATTACTACAAAAAACTTGTCGAATTACAACATGATTTTTGGAAGGGTGTGTGGTGGGCTCTCTTTTCAGTCCTTGCTTTATACCCTTGTCACCACTTGTTGCATAAATAATCATTTTCAATGCTCTGCTGACAACAGCATTTCATGTAATACACTCTCCAGCATATGCTTTTCAAGGGGTTGGAAGGAGTGCTTGCTTCTAGCAGAAGGAAAGGAAAAACTGGAAGGATAGCCAAGAGTCCTATGTACAAGCGGTAGAGATTACTACTGTCACTTTCCCTTCCATTCCCTTTCCCCGAGGGCTATTTTTTTTTTTCAGGGTTAAGTATTGTACCTGGGATACTCCTCCAGAAGAGCACATATTATAAGGTGTGAGGTTTATTTCTTCTTCTTTTTTTTTTTTTCTCCCCCATTCCCCTCCTTTTTTTTTTTCCTCTGGGAGGGGATCTTAAATGAACGATCACAAAAAGATGGCAGTATTACTGGAAGGATGATGTTATGAAATACACTTCCTTAATTCCAAGTGTGTATTCCAGATTTTGTTCTTCAAAGTTTCATATTTTCAAGCATTAAAGGGCTCAAGATTTTGTCTTGGAACAAGCAGAAAGCAGCAAAGAAGATCTCAAGAGGAGGAACCGAAAACACTGCTCATTTTAATTCCTAGTTACGTAAACAGAACACTTGCATGCTACATACAGGGACCGCATCTTCATAACGATTGTTTATAATGTACATATGCACATAAAGAGAGCATGGAGCAAAGGCAAAGAAAACAGTAACAGGACAATCCCCAAGAGGAAAAGATACAAGAAAGAAAGCTGGATGGCTGGGCAGAATGAAGGGACTGGTAAAGGATTAGCACTGAGGTGTATTTGAAACAGCAACAAGTCTGGCAGCGTATGTGTTCTGGTTCCCATTTGCCCTGCTAGGAACAAAGCTACTGCCTAGGCAAACATGAGCAACAAATACAAGACCTCAGTAGCCACAAGCTGTTTTAAGATTAAAATTCTTACAGAACCATAATCCTCAGACCAACACTTTACATGTAAAAAGCACAGTAGACTTTTCTCAACCTTCTCGGTGGCTGTAAATAAAACACTATGTAGCTAGTTCTGGCCAATTTTGCTTTTATTGAAACATTCATGCAAGATTCTTTTTTAAACCTCTCACAGTAGTATCTACGCAGGTAAAAAGCTGCCAGTACAGTAGACAAAATTACTTCTGGGACATAACTCAGCTTCAAATTCTAGAGCAGCAAAGTGGGTTTTGTCAGTCTTTTTTTCAGTAACCACAGGCATCAACAGTCATACTAGCATGTTGAAGGACTCATTAGGAGGGAATGTCATAGCAAGGGGAATTAGCTGCAAGAAACATTTCTCCCATCTGCAGTTATCTGACAACAGCCTTTAAGAAAGCAAGCATCAAATTTGGAGAAGGCAGCCAACAAATCCTCCCCAAAATGGGCTACCAGTGGAATGGTTCATAGGATGGACTTGAGCACTGGTTTCTGCATAAATGCCAATTTATTCAATTGGTGAGTACAGATCCAGTGACAGTGGTGACAGGTGTAGAGGCCCTAACAGGTGGGGATTGCAGAGTAAAAACGCTTTATTGAAGGTAAAAATCCAGGAGTGAGAAAGTGGCAGAAGATGAAGAAGCACCATTCATACATATCCTGCCCATTAGTGTCCCACTGCGTCATCCTGAAGCAAAAATAAAGTATCCTTCCCATACACATACACACAAAACGCCTCCTTCTGTGGCATGCTCTCAAATCATAAGGCCATCCCAGCTTTTTCGATTTCAAAATGAGACTAAATTTCAGGGGAAGAACGAACTACATGTTGCTGTCTGCAAATGCCATAAGTCATTTTGGGACATCAAACACAAGAGCTCCTATAATACTCGCGCAGTGGGGAAAACGCAGTTTCACGGAGAATTTGACAGGTGACAAATGGACTTGCTGGCACTAGTTCAAAGCTCACGATTTCAAGGCTTAGAAACATGAAAACTACATGACAAAAAACTACCAGAGACCAATCTTTAACCCTGATTCTTACCTCAGCAGGTTTCTTTTGTTCATTTGCTGGTGTTTTTGACTTGCTCCTGTATTTAGAACAAGAAGAAAAGGAAGTGGAAGGACCTATTAAAAAAAAAAAAAGACATAAAAAGGACCATTACAGATTGTTTCAATTGATTCAATTTTTCAGCAAAACATAAGGCACTCCAGTCTCTTGAATTATCATAACTTCTTGACAAGACGTGGGCAAAAAACTCTTAGGCAGTCTGTAGGCTTGATCACAGCTCCTCCTGTTCCACTCATTCTTTGTAAGACCACAGCACATTGAGTTTATGGGTACATTCTGCTCTGTCCAATACAAGCATGAGTAAACAGAAGCAAGCAGGCAGACCACTTTCCTTCATTTCCTTTCTAACAAAGTGGAAGGAGAACCAAAACAGAGGACAGAGTTTGCAAGTGCTAAAAAAAAACAAACAAAAAGGCAACGATACTAAAGCATGCTGATAAGAGATGCAAAAAATCGTAGCGTGATGTCTAGATATTTCCAGGCAAAATGTTATTTCAGTACAGGATACATTGATGACTTGCAACAAATATGACAATGAATCATCACTATGTAGAGAGTTATTAGATAGGCACAGGCTTATAAGAAACAAACAAGACCCTGCCCTACAGGTGAGGGGTTTTTGCAGACAAAATGGGAAGATGCAACCTCAGGCAGATACGTACCAAGGAACGTTTAAAATATAACTTTACTGAATTGTATAACAGACCAAAGTGGAATAGATCAAGAACGAGTATAAGATAACATAACAATCAATACACTGGTTATAACTCTATCTTATATATAACTCTAACATATCAATGCTCAAATACTGTGCCAACCCCAGTAATTTTAAAGTTGAGGCTTTGCACAACAAGAGACAACAGGACTCTCTTAAAAAAAAAAATTACAAAATAGGACTCTGGACAGTAAAATTTCTCTTGAATTACAGATTTCTTTTTCTCAGCTCTGAAAGGGAAACATACAAGTTTCTCCTCAAATTCTAAGCAGACTCAGAACCACCTCCAGGTTTACAGGATCCTTTGCCTCATTTTCCTCTCATAACAGGATTCAGAACACCAAAGACCACAGAACACAAAAAGAAATCAAGCAAGAAACATTTTTTTTTAATTATAAGAGGTGAAATAGTTTGCCCTCAATCCACAGAAGGAAACCACAAGGGGGTGATAGACCAAAGAAAAACTAGTAGGTATTACTTACTCTCATTGTCTGAACTGTCACTGGTGCTTAGATGCCTGTGGCGTTTCATCCTGACGCATCCTAAAGAGAAAAAAAAAGTTGATGGCAACCATTCTACCAGAAAATCACCGGCTGCTGGCTGACACCAAGCTCTTCGCACTAAAGGCAAAACTCGTCTGAAGAGCTTTCAGGCACAGAAATAATCCCAGTTCAGCCACTACCGTTTTATTTCTGCGAGCAATTATTCGACCAAACTCTTATTTGTGAAACTGAGCACCCTCAAACCTAGCATGCCTCTGCTGGGCAGAGCTTGCTTTAAATTTTGCAGAAAGGAGTGCAACCCGCCAGCTGATTCCCGGCAGGGCGTGAGCGGCGCTCTGCTCTCGGAGGAGGCTCAATGTCCCATCTGTTCAGCCAGAGGAAGAGTTGCCATGGTGGCAGTCGCTAGCTGAGAGACGGGCGGAGGCCAGGAAATAAGGTGGATGCACAGCAAGGCGAGGATTTAGAAATATAACTCACCTTAAAAAAAAAAGGCAAATAAGCCCAAGGCATCTGTGCAAAAACAAAAGGCAGATTTTAAATAGTACATTCATAGAAAATGGTGACTGATGCCATTTAATTTAAATCATCTGATCACCACTTAGTTCACAAGAAATGTGGTTTTCAGAAATTTGAGAAGTGATCAAGTGTATTGCTGAGAAATACTTCCATGGTGCTGCACTAGTTCCATTAAAAAAAAGTATTGAGCTCTTTGAAATTCATTTTTAAAAATGTAATGCATAGAGAGAATGGGAAAGAAGAAAATTCTGCACTGCTACTTAATAAAAGAAAAATCAGAATAGTGATCAGCTATATACTCTAAACAAGTGTCAACAGAATCCATACACATTCTTGTAAGTCCTGCCATTCTATAGTATTCAATGTTACATTGGTTAAACAAGAACCAGTAACAGCCTACAATTAATAAAAGAAAATCACCCCTATCTTTTTAATGGATTGAATGAACAAATCATTAGAGAAAAGAAAAGCTGTAAAAACTTATTCTGCGAGAATAGATGACAACTCTTTTTTTTTTTTTTTTTTTAAGCAGACAATAAACACAAGTAGGTTACAGACAGCTGAACCTGAAATGCCTGCAGTATTAGAAGTGCCAGCCTGGACACACCTGAAATGTAAGCAGCTTCATTTCTTAAACAAAAACACATGCCATTAAAGAAAGCAACACAGCTAAATATCACATTTGATAAGCCCTCCACATTAGTTACTGTATAACGAGTCTTGAGATTATCCAAAGACCATGGGAAAAACAAAACTACCAGGTAAGAGAAGCCTGTCCAAAGGCTTTGAAGAGATTGCAATTAAATTGTTCACAGCACAAGTGTTTAGTTTAGTGGAAATTTTCAGCAGCATTTATATTTGAGAGTGAATTTACTGAATCTAAATACAATTATCACTCAAAATTTAAAACAATCCTTTTGACCTATCTGTTATAAAAAGACACTGCCCATGCTCCTGGAAGTTGAAAAAGGAAGCAATGCATGCAGTTTTCAAGCAGGTAGATACAGAACTTCTGAGTCAGGTATTTACCCTGAGGGAGGACAGGAGGACACAGTGGTCAACAGGACAGGATATCAAAAGGTGCCATTTGAATCACTTAAGCAAGCTATAAACTCCCATTACATAACAATTAAGTTCACATTAATTCACCTTCTCACAGCTCAAGCAACCTGGGGAAGGCAACACAGCCACACTGTATACAAAGACCAGCATCCAACAGAAGAGCTACATCAAAAACAAAATACCCAAAACACCACAGGACTTCACCTCCAGCTAGTAACCTAACGTGGCTTGTGCAGGCACCAGTCAGATGAAGAAACTTCCATGAATCTCTTAGCCAAAAGCTGTTTGACAGGTAGAAGGCTCTTGGGCCAGAAGGGACTGTCTTTGTGCATGTTTTGGCGGCACCAGACTTGAAGTTAACTGCTGGGTAGTGAGGAGAGGACTAGAAGACTACTTTCATCTTGCCAAGTCATGAAGTGTAAAGGCCCGGACTTGATAATCAAAAGCAAATAAAATGGTATTGCCTATTTGAGAGCTTATACTCCAGCAACCAAACCCAACCTCCCCAGAGCATACAAGCCCCCCCCTCCCCAAAAAAGGAGCAGGTTCTGCCCCTGGCAACATCTTCTCTGCTGATAGTCTTCAGTTCCAAACAGCCCTGGCTTACAGACCATCCGGAATACTACAAGACCTTGGGAGATGCTGAAAAGATGCATCTAGGTGTGCCAAGCAATATTCCTCACTTCCACTTCTCAGCAAGAAATGCGAGTGCTTGCTGCTTGCTTTGTTTTTATGTTCAGATGAATTTTTGAACAGTTGTTAAAAGGTGCTGAAAGCTTATGGCAGGCGATTCTCATCTCTTATAGTCTATATAAACATGCAGCACTAAAACGTTTTAACTCTGTACTAAAGACAGCTATCTGCAGAGCACAACATGAACATTCAATTAAAGTAGGGTCAAACACGAGGTTGAGAGAGACAAGTGCAGGAGGGAACACCCAGAAAGCCTGGACTTCTGCCTGGGCAACTGAGGAAAGCAGAGAGGACATGTCTACTTCACAGACAGCTTACACAGAAACAGCAAGCGTAAGAAAAACTTCAGAATAGAAAGCACACCTCTGCCAACAACTCAATAGGAGAAAAAAAAAACAACAATCAAACCAAAACAAAAAAAATTGTATTTGAGAAGTGGGTTTGTAGGAGCTCAGGCAAGAGATTTACACCTCCATCACAGCAGACAGAAACAGAAAAAGCAGTCACCCAGGGTAAAAGCCCCAAATAGTAATAACACTGGATTCCTGCCTGATTTTCTGCAGCAATACTAACCACAACAACAATGAATAAGAGCCCACAGAGCTACAACAAATCACAGGCATGCTGTGTTCAGTAAGGCAGGTTATTAAAGTGACCAATGTGCTACAAGTTCACCGTATGCCCCCACATGATGCGGGAGTAACAGCCTCAGCATCATTCAACAGGACTGCCTCTGCAGGGGGCTTAACTTTTGTGTTTAACAGGAGACTCCCTTGCTGTACCCTTGTGTACACTGGGACTGCCATTCAACTTCCACCTCACTTCCACCCCAAAGCATGAGGGCTCATCAGAAAGGCTCGCTAACAGCATTTCCACTCCCTAGCTATTACAGAGGGATCCCCAAGTAAACACCCATTTTGTGGTAAAGCTCCTGTCCCACTCCTTCACCTGTCCTTGCAGAATGCGGAAGGATCGGCAGCTGCCGAGTTCAGAAAGAATGAAGATGCAAAGGCAGTCCCTACAACATGGAAACGGATGTCAGCCTTTCCCTGCTTCAGCCCAGTTCCCCAAAGTGGTCTGGCACTCTCCAGTTCGTCTCTCAGCTTCAGACAACGACAGTATTATCCAGGCGACACGGTCCAGAGCAAGGCTGCAAGCAACCCTGTGCCTCAACTCCTGCTTCTTCCATCTCATTTATATTTTATTGCTTGCAAAGGACTGTGAAGAAATTAAAAAAAAAAACCCAAACAAACCAAAGAAACACACACACCCCTCCCCAAGGGCTGAATATAGAAAAAAAGGGCAATTCACACATATCAAAAACCCAAACCAAAAAAAGCAGAACCAAAAATCATAGAATCATTTAGGTTGGAAAAGACCTTTAAGATCATTGAGACCAACCATTAACACCGTCAAGTCCACCACTAAACCATGTCCCTCAGCACCACATCTATGTATCTTTTTAAATACCTCCAGGGATAGTGACTCAACCACTTCCCTGGGCAGCCTGTTCCAATGCTTGACAACCCTTTCGGTAAAGAAATTTTTCCTAATATCCAATCTAAACCTCCCCTGGCGTAACTTGAGGCCGTTTCCTCTCATCCTATTGCCTGTTACTTGGGTGAAGAGACTGACCCCCGTCTCACTACAACCTCCTCTCAGGTAGCCGTAGAGAGCAACAAGGTCTCCCCTCGACCTCCTTTTCTCCAGGCTAAACAACCCCAGTTCCCTCAGCCGCTCCTAAGACCTGTGCTCTAGACCCCCGCACCAGCTTCACTGCCCTTCTCTGAACATGCTCGAGTCTTAAGGTCTTTCTTGTAGTGAGGGGCCCAAAACTGAACACCGTATTCGTAGTGCGGCCTTACCATTGCCGAGTACAGGGGGACGATCACTTCCCTAGTCCAGCTTTGCCACGCTAGTCCTGATACAGGCCAGGATGCTGTTGGCCTTCTTGGCCACCTGGGCACACTGACGGCTCATGTTCATCTGGCTGTCCACCAACACCCCCAGGTCCTTCTCTGCCAGTCAGCTCTCCAGCACTCTTCCCCAAGCCTGTAGCACTGCATGGGGTTGTTGGGAGTGCAGGACCCGGCACTTGGCCTTGTTGAACTTCATACCATTGGCCTCGGCCCATTGATCCAGCCTGTCCAGATCCCTCTGCAGAGCCTTCCTACCCTCCAGCAGATCAACACTCCCACCTGGCCTGGTGTCGTCTACAGACTTACAGAAATCCCACCGAAATGGGTACAATCTCTCATGTATCCTAGCTTTGCCCATTTTCTAACTTCACCCCTGAAAACTATGGTGACAATAAAGCCTAGAATAGAGGAGCACAATTAATTTTTTTTCAACACGTACATCAAGATTTAATGAAAAGGTGAGAAAAATTCATGAGATTACCAGTGCCCTTTTCCTACCTCAGGGTACCAGTTCTAATGAATGGCATGTGGCAACACCAAAAAGATAATCAAGTAAATAGTATTAATTTTTTTACACACAAAATGAAAAATTCAGTAAATTTTTGTAAAAGGTAAGAAATACCTTTTTCCACAGAATAGTTCAAAAAGAAATTTAGAAAACAGCCTCAAAGAGATGCTACTTATAAAGAAAAAAAAAAAGATAAGAAAAGATGAGCCGTCATTAGGAGCATGATGGAACCACCAGACAGCAAGCAGCTAAAACCATCAGCCTCCTTCCACTTCCTTTATCTTCATTCAGGCGTTTTGCAAATGTGCATGCTGAATAATTTTTTTTTTT